TCACGAGAGGTAATGAACAGCCTTGCTGAGACGGACCACTCTCTGAAGTTATACCAATCCAGCAGCACACTTGTAATCTGCAAGCTGTGCAGATTAGGGTTTTCCAGGTTTGAGGACCTTGCAACGGGTCTGTTATCTCTAGAGGAAACTTCACCGGATAGTGAGGACATCCTGACTTCAGTCCTAGAGTTGTTCACAGTGCTATAGGTGGTTCTGTTTAGGGCTGGCCGAAGTGGTCACAGTGTTCACAGTGCTGGTAGCACACTAGATAGACTTCACTTGGACTGAGCCTATTTGGGTACAGTAGCAAGTAAAAGTTAGGGCTGGTAACTGACCTGAAAACAGGGCTCTTTACCACTGTTCTGTACGAGTCTTGCTGGTGCACCGAAGCTGCAACTGTAGAAGAGGCAAAGTTTTTACCACTGTTCTGCGCAAGTCTTGCTGGAGCACCGAAGCTGCAACTGTAGAGGAAGCTTTCCCCCTTTCGGCTAGTGCTAGGACTGCTGAAATCAGTCCTCAACTAGGTCTGTCCTATACAGACCTCTCTTAGTAGCCAAATAGCTACTACTTGCTGGAAATAACCTAGTAGGACATCTACTTCTGGGTCTTACTTCCCTTGAGTCCTACAACGAAGAGAAACCCTAGGTTCGAACTTGCCTTACTCTCTTACAACCCTAGGTCTTTACTGCAGCAACCCAGAAAAGGAAGAGAGAAGATGAAACAACAACAAGAGAAGAGAGTGCACCGGCTGAACCAGGAAGAAGCTAATGCTCTGATACCATGAAAGCTGAACTACTGTAGCCGAAGTAGCAGAAAAGAGAAGAAGAAGAAGAGATGTTGGAATGTCGAACTATACTTGCCAGTCGACCATGCTATTATTTATATATGAGCGTAGTACAAAGTGCAAGAAATTACTGGGATGCCCCTGATTAGTGATGGGACACCCAGATGACTTAAATCATTAAACAGGATTAGGCCCATTAACACAGGCCCAGTTACAAGATAAGTTAAACATAAGTATGGGCTAATAAGAACTCTTATCAGCCGAACATCACTCTAACATTCTAACAATAACAACCAGATTTGAAGAAGTAATACTTTCATGCTTTCAACAAATCAAAATACAAAGAAATTACAAAAGATGATTTTTGTAAATGTGAACAAGTTTCTAGTAAAAAACAAAGCACTTTTCCTTCTTTATTCAAAACTTGTTTCTTACTTAGACAACCTTCCATATAGAAGAGTTCCTTATAGAATGGTCACTCTTGCTACTAAATTACATATATGAAAAATAAAAAAGAAAATTACAAATACATGGGATGCTAGAAAAGTTCACATTGATGAACCAATTTAAGATGGCTGTTGTCTCTTTTGATGTGAAATTTTAGAATGGAATAAGAAGATCATTAAGTCAATGTCCTTATGGTTTCTTCTGTTCATTCTAGTTTTCTGGTGTCTGCCATCCATGTCATTTCCCTCTTTCCAAACTGAAAACAAGCATTTCTCAATTCCTCTTTTCTAATGTCGCTTAATATTACTTTCAGATATTAAAGCTAACAAAGGAGACAAAGAGGATTCTTCCATCCGTTACACTATCAGTCACTGTGCCTCACACGCTAAGCCTTCCTGATCAGGTTATTGCAATACCTACTTAAGAGTGTAAAGAAAAATTTTCACTGTTGTTTGGATCACAAGTTATAGCTAATTAACCAACAGGTCAAGCTAGCAGAGTTACTTGAACAGGAAGGTGTTGATATTATCCAAACTGAGGGAGGAAAGTGTTCTAGTCCTTCGAAGGCTGGTGTTCTGGGTCTGATTGAGAAGGTATATTGCTTACCCTTGAATGATGATTCTTTTACTAAACTTAACTTTCTTGTGCATTTGTGTAACTTGAAGTGAACCTCCTTATGTTCCAAAAGTGATTAAACTCTTCTTTCTGATACTATAAACACAACGTTGAAATCAGTTTTGTTCATAAAATTTGCACATTTTATGCTCACTTTTGATTCTCATCTATTTGGAATAACAAACCAAATTCGTTTCTTAATGACATGTAGGCAACCCCAACACTTGCTGCTGCATATTCTATTTCACATGCAGTCAAAGTTCCTCTTATGTGTTCATCTGGACTTAGCGCAGTTACAGCACCAATGGCCTTGACTGCAGGAGCATCTGGCATAGTATGTAACTAGACACCCTTTTTTATTGTAGATTTTTTTTTTTTGACTCTTCAAACTATGAGGGTAAGATTTGAACTGCTCCTTAAACAGCTAGAATTGTTGGTTAATCATAAGATGAACTGTGTTGACGTTGACTAGATAAATGACGGGTAAATTCTTTCCATTGGAAAAACAGGGTGTTGGTTCAGCAGTGAACAAGCTCAATGATGTGATTGCAATGATTGCAGAAGTCAGAAGTATCTCAGATTCACTACACCAGCCAATTGGTAGACATACAACACCAGAAGAAACAACTGTTAGGAGGTCTTAATGCATACATCAGTTCACAGTAGAATTAAAATGAAAAGCAGTGCCATTGTTATGATGTGCATAAATAGAAATGTTTCCTCTTGTACTTTTTTACCTTAGAGATATGTAAATCTTCTTTAGTATGTTAAACCCCAAGTAAAAATTCTATAATGGTAATGGTTATATGTCCCTTCAATTTCTTCAAGCTTCACATTCTAGTGCTACTTTCATCAGAGTAACCTCTAAGCAACTTTTTCTTGGAACAAAAGTGATCCCCCTCCCTTTTTCAAAGTTCAGTTCTTTCGTTTTTTTCTATCTACATGATATGTATGAGTACTTGTGCAAAATTGTTTAAAGTCATCCAAATTTAAGCTACTATTTCTGAATCATATGTTTTCTCTTTTTTTTTTTTTTTTGACGCCTCATATGTTCTCTCGCACTAGATGGTCCTGAGTAACAACTGTATGCTATTAATTAAGTTTGCTATCCGGAAAAACTGAAATGAATTCATGCAAATATCTTACCTACATTGAGATTGTGAAGTTTTGCTCCAAAATGAAAAGAACCATAGTGTAACATTTTATGCTCAAACGGTGTCCAAACTGGTTAATAACCAATAGTTTAATAGAAAATGAGAAAATGGTATGAATCAGCAAGCATCAATGCAATATGTTACATGCAGTATAATAAAGCTGGAGAAACAAAAAGAATAAAGGTATAAATAGACATAATTGTCAAGTAAATTACAGTTTACAATGCACAAGCAGTTCACATAGATACCCAATTTCAGCCAATCAAATAGATCACTTAACAAAACAGTCAAACTAAACTAGGTTGAATCCAAGTGCAAAAGCAACTTTTCTTTCATTCCATACAAATATTTGCTTGAATAGTCCCCAAATGACTGACTAGACAGTAGAATACATTACTGTCTTTGCTGAAGAATCTGAGGAAATGAAACTTATCCTGTATGCTTTTTGGGTGATGCAAGCTTGTCATTAGAATTCTCATATACACTCCTCACTCAGAGTTACCTATCCTGAAAATTACATATTTTTCCTCACATGGCCAACAAACCCTGATAAAAAACTCTCCATTGAACTCAACCATGAAATTCTGATGGAAAGAATAGCCTAGAACAGTCCAAACATGTTATTCCAACTCAAAAGTCCAAGTTAAGACTTGTATGGTACCCCCATCATGCCAGCCTTATGGAAAGCTAAAAATTGCACTTTTTTAGGAATTTAGCAGGGATCAGATGGGAAAGATATACTACCAAATCAGTGCTGATTAGGCAAATCCAGGGTGTTTATTCTCGCTCCATAAAAGGAATTAATGAAGAAATACACTTAAAAGACCTTGGGACATAGCAACCATCCATCCTTTGAGAATCAAATTCTGATCCTAGTAACTCAGGGATGTCAAAGGCAATAAGTCATATTACACAGTGGATCAAAGAAACTGCACATATTCTTTTCTGCAGCAGAACATGAGCCAAGGAGAATGGAGATTGGATATTAGACCTATTTAGACTAGTGCTAGAAGATTGGAGAGGTGGTATTTTGCCATTTCCTACAAGCAGCATAGAAATTTATGTAATGAGTTATTGAAAGGGAGGCATTCTGCAAATAACCTGTAAAGCTCAAGAGGAAGGTTAAAGAAAGGGATCCTTGCCTTCTTTTTCTTCTTTTTATAGTTGCTTCTTTGGTCACTCTACAGTTGTATCTCCTGCTCTTTAATTCTTTCCTTGATGCTAATTGGTGTCTCAGGTGGCCCCTAAACCACAAAAACATTTAAATTCAGACTTAAGTGAGGCATAATTGATTGATTTTGTGTGGTAATACTACAAATTGCTTTATCAGAGAAGCCCTAAGTTCTCGCAAGCTAGGCAAGAAATTTAAGGGTTGTAATTCATAGAGTGGTTTCTTTCCTGTTTGCATTTGAATTAACCAAAATGGAGAAAACCAAGTAGCTTCTAGAGTAGGACATGACAAAGAAACTGCAATACACTAATCTTCCAGATGAAATGCATGTAAGCTCTCAATCTCTCATACTTTGGCAGGTTGAAATAGATTGAATTCCCTCTAATTCCCGACTCAGATGCAGAGCAAGACATGAAGCAAACATGGAGGCAATGACCAACTTCTAGGTCATCATAGTCTAACGTTACCAACCACCCATGATCCATGACTCCATGAGAGAATGCCATCTATGAGGTTTTTACTTACTATTATTGGATGCAGTTTATGCTGTAGAAGGTTCGTCTCTTTCTTTTCTTCCATTACCCAAATCTTCATTAATTTAGGTGATGTTTGGCAATGATGATGATTTCCCATAAATCGGCACCACATAGGATCCACATCAGAATTTGAAGAATCAGTGATTTTTTTGCTCGTTTTGTTGACTGATTATGCTGATATCTGGGAAAATCAGCCAAAAATCGATTATTGAAATCAGCCCTTTTCAGAGATCACCTTTTCTAGTGATTTTCTAATTTTTAACTGATCCCAATTTTTTGAGGATGACATGGCATCCAACATGGCATTGAATAATAACTCTAGTACAAAAATAATAGGCCCTTGAAAATCAATACCAAACAGACTCAAAGCTGATTTCTCAAAAATCAGCTTACATGGCATAAATGATATCAAACAACAATTTTTGATGATTTTTCAAATTTCCCTAATTCCAGAAATCACTGATTTCTGGATAATCAGCAAGGAGAAATCATCATCGATGCTAAACATCACCTTATTGAAAAGTATCAATCGGTATCCGACATGGTTCATTGAAGCTTTAGTGTCATATCAACCAAACAATTGGAGTAGGGGGGGGTGCATTGTTGTAAGTTTTGGGTTGATGATCAATACAAAATTGTGAGAAATGTGTATTAAAACATCATATGTGAGTATCATTTCAATTAGAAAAATGCATGTGTGTGAGAAACATCAAATTTGACGTTTTAGATAGAAATAGCAATTTGTATTGATCAACTCAAATGTTTTCAAAACATTTCAAGCGAAAAAATCTCACAAATTTCTATTGGTCGACCCAAAACAGGCAACACAGTGCCACTGTAGCAAATACCTCCTTAATTGGTCATCAAAATTAATTTTCCGATATTTCACTATTTTAAAATGACTGAAATTTCCAAATTTTAAAACTTTGCCACTGGCTTAGTCCACTCCAGATTCAACCACTTTCATGATGGTAGAGTGGCCATAGGCCCTCGTTTGATCCTCAACATGTTGGAATATCCAATGGCCATGTGACAAGCCACATGTTGATGGAAAATGATTCTTTTATGGTTATCTCTATGCAACACTCCACACAATCATTCACTTCTTTTTCTCAAATTATTATTTATTTATTTTCTATAAAAAAAAAGAAATGAATTTGATTGTTTACTTGAAAATGTTTTATGAATAGAGATATATCAATGTTATTGGATTATTATGGATCCTATTTCCAGCACTTACTGGGTCAATGGATATCCATTTGACCCAGTGTAGACTAGATGACCAATTGGTTAGATCCTTGGTCAACATGAGACACTTGTCTCAAATCTGATGGAGCATGAATTTTACTGTTGAGGAGCACTTATCTCAACTGGTTATTTTGGTTACTGTTTGTTCCTAATAACAGGGAACTTAACGTTGGAGAAGCAGGCTATATAAGGGGTCACTCCCAATTGCTTCATATACATGAGATACACTCTTTACTGAGAAAGGAAAAGATCCTCTCAGCTCCTCTAGCTCCAATCAGATTCAGCAGTTCTCTCTTACACTTTGTTTGGGAGATAGGTGTCTCGGATCCCATATTGTGTGCCAGCTACACTTTTCTCTTTGTATGCAGGTTTGGAGCGTCCAAGTATCAGTCGTCCATCTCTGCATCTTCATGGTTCTTCATTTCATTCCCTAGAAATTAAGTTGTATTCAATAAATAAATCTTATACAAATAGTTGAAATTAAAAAGTCTAAGTAGAGGATGACTTGTTAAAAAGGGGATGGATAAAAGTTGAGAACAAAAGGAGCCCGTTTAAAAAGACTACCATTTATTCCAAATGTTAGAATTTTCTGGGTATCAAATTTACATGATAACTTGATACAAAGATAATTTCCTTATAAAGACGATCCATGATGCTAATATACACCTCCCTCTTGTAATTTCTAAACTCGGTCAATTGTCTTCTACCAAACCAAGAATTCTACTACTCATCATAGTCCGAATCCTCCCCGCTTTGTTGATCCTCACCATTATCCTGCAATTAAATGAAAACAAAATTGTATATTGTATAAGCCTGGTGTGAGCGCCAACAGCAGCAGCAGTAATTTAGTGCAGCAACAACAGTAATTTAGTGTTCTCAGCAGCAGCAATTTAGTGTTATCCTATCTTATCTATTCAATATTCTTGTATTCTTACCTTATCTGCTTTCAGTAGCAGGGATTAGTAGGAGTCTTATCTATTCARTKWTCTTATCTTATCAGTTCAATAGGATAGATTAAGGGAGTCTTATCTTATCTAATTACAGTTCTTATCTTATCTTATCAGTTCAGTAGGATAGATTACGAAAGTCTTATCTTATTTTATCAGTTCAGTCTTATCTTATCTTATCTTATCTAAAAGTAGGATTCTACCTCTTGTAATTTCCTATTTAAGGAAGGGAGGAACAAGGGAAGATAGGTTCTTCAAGAAAAGAGAGGAACAAGGGAAAACAAGAGGTTTTCCCCGTGGACCGACCCGTGACGAGATCTTATTCGCGGGCCCATAACAACTTGGTATCAGAGCAAGGCGTCATGGGTGACCTTGAGCGATTGACGTCTAGGGTTCATGATCTAGAGCACAGACTCGTGGAAAACAGCAAGGAGGTGCGCGAGATCAAGGACGACGCACGAGAATTAAGGCGCTTGATGGAGTTGTACTTTTCCACCAAGGAAAGAAACCCGAAAGGGGCTGCAACCACAACCGGCCACTGGTCAGACATGGCAGAATCGTCCGACGAGCCGTAGGTCGTTGCCCTAGCACAAGTTAGCAACACCCAGAATGTTCCGATTAAGCAGGAATCTGGTGTCATCGAGGATTGACGAGAGTTCAAAGAAGAATAAGAGCAACTACTCCAAGGTCGTCATCGCTGGTGAAGGAGCTTGTATGCCTCATGTTGCGGCTGCAAATGTTGCAAAAGAGTGTTTGTTAGCTGCAGTCAGATCAGATCCTAGGGCTGCACATATCTGGG